CATAGTAGAAGGTCAGCATATGTTTGCTGAGGAAGGGGTCTCTCCTTCCGGCTCGTACTTCTGATAAGCGACAGGACTCTTGGGACTTAGTTTGGCGGGTTAGACTGGGATGCTTGTTTCCAAGTTTCCTTTACCTTTATGAACCTCTTGGATTCTGGAGTCTACCTTTCCACTCTACTTCCAGTGTTTAAATACGACCATTAACATCTTACATTGAGTCTATATTTGCTACTTTAAATATATTTACTCACCTTATCTGCACTAGGACCATACATTGTTGCTGGTACTTGATCATGTCCATTTTATGGGTGAGAAAATTGAGGCTCAAGGAGACCAAAAAACTTGCTAACCAAGCTCCCCTCATGAGTAACTAGTACAACCAGGGATGGCCCCAGGCAGTGCGCTGCTGTGTCCCCCTTGCAGGCTCTGAATTCCGAGATATGATTTGCCACCTGCCTAGACCCGCCCCAGGTCTACAAGATGACTGGAACTAGAGCTCCAGCCTCTGCAGACTGGGCTCTATCAGCGAGTCCTGGCCCCTCCCAACACCAGGCCCACTCAGTCACATTAGGGGAGACTTGGCCACTGCCACTCTCTTCCCACCTTGGTGGAAATCAGAAATAAGGACTATCCTGCAACAAGGCCAAGGAAATTCCTATCTGCCTTCTGGGCAGATCTACAAGTGTAGCTTTTGGGCGGACCCCCAAGAATGCTTTCTTCGGGTATTTTTAAAATCAGCCTTTTCTTGCAGGTAGGAGCTCTGAAGTTATTGTTTGAAAGAAATTTGGGGAAGAGGAGGAGGCAACCTCTGTAAGCTTCAGGAGGCTCAAACGTCTTTCCCTCCTAAGGCCACGTGACACCGGCTTTCCTAACAGCACCTGTCAGGCATCACTCAGTGAAACCCCAGAGCGGCATTAATCACAGTAAGAGGGAAAGAAAGCGACTTCAAACACGCCATATATGGCATCTGACTTTCAACAATGAACAGCCCCGCTTCCTGTTGGTGGGTAACCCCGAATAGTTCAACGCACAGCACAATGATAGGAAAGCGCTTAGTATACAACAATAAACCAAGGGATAAACAGTGCCGAGGTTTTTCTTTAAGCCAACATCTGTGGCTTGATGAACTGTGGTGTGTTATTTCTATTGCTATGCAACGGAGGAAAAAACTAAAGGTGATTTCAGTGAAAGGCATAGGAATATGTGAAGCAGTGTGATTGTAGTGTCCGAATTTAGGCCTGACAGATGTTGGGAAGGGTTTCTTTCACGTGAGACACCAACCACGAGAACAGAAATTAACTTCCAGGAGGTTCATGGCTAGGCTTTACTTTTGTTTTGTAAAATTCAGTGGCGCATCCAGCCAGTGGCCCTGGGCCAGGGAGTGCTGTGCCGGCCCTGGCAGGATCTAGTTGAATGTTTATAAAACCAGGAGCACAGCCTAAGGAAATGTAAACCAACCTGCCAGAAGGAGGTTGCAAATCAATTTGTCAAATTGCAGATTGCAAAACATACCCCAACCCCTACTCTGTGCCTGCCTTTTGGTGAGTTCCTGACGGGAAGGGAGTGCTGTTACAGAGCGGGGACCAGATGCCTCAGAAGGGCAGGTGCACAGCATCTAAGGGTGTGTGTAAACACTACACTGAAGTCGCTGCTAACGCCTATCCTTCCAGGGGAACTATCCTCCACCCTCTGCCCCTTCCCCAAACTTCCCACGAACCCCTCTAACCAGGAAAAAACAACTTCAGAAACCAGGGTGGGGCTTTTCTGGAAAAGGGTTCCCTCAGTTACAGTGGAGGTAGGTATCTAGGTAATTTCCCCCAAACAGTCATTTTCCCCTGAATCATTAGCTGCCTGGTTCAGTTAGCCCCTTTCCCTTCGGCCGTGCGGTATAGATGTGGGAAAGCTGTCTGTGACGGCTGCTATCTTGAGACCCTCGGGACCCCTCCCCCTGGAAACTGGGAGACAGGAAGGCCCCATATTCCCCTCCTGGGCTCAGTCTGTGTAAACACAGAACAAATCAGTAAGTAATGAGCAGAAAGAGGTCTCGGTCCTCCAGCTAAAGCTGAGAATTGACTGTCTGTGCAAACTGGGAAGACCATTTGTACCAAGCCCTCTAACCTGCTCATTCATTTATTCACTGCAGACATTTATCGAGCGCCTCCTGTGTGCTGGGCACTGTTCCAGACATGTAGCCTCAAACAGAATGGAAACAAAAATCCCTGCTCTCAGAATGTTCTAAGTTCTAGTGGGGAAAATCCACAAATACAGATTAAGAAGATAATGCATGCTTATCCTAAAATGAAGACAAGCTGTCTGTTGCTTGGCAAACATACACTATTTCCCAACATTAAGGGATTAGGGAAAGAGAACTAACTTTTACTGAATGCTTCCTATGTGCCAGGCATTCAATAATAGTACCCAATATTTTTCGAGCACTTACTGTATACTAGTAGGCTCATAGGAAGGTGAGCTCAGACATTTCCCCTATCTCCTTTTCATTCTCTCAACAATTCTGTTACCCTAATTGTGCAGATGAGAACACAGAGGACCAGAAGTCAGGATAAATTGCTCAAGCACACCTCACTCGGGATCTCTGCACTCCAGCCTGATCCCACTGTCAGAGGGCAGGCTCCTACCCCCCTCACCTCTGTCCTCCGGCCCCTTGGTTCAGCTTAGACGTCCCCCTCCTCCGGAGAACTGTCCTGACTCCTCACTGTGGACCTTTTGCTAATCTCCCTCATTCGATCATACAAACGCCGGGTGGCATCTAACTCCACCAGGCACTCAGACATCGCTTTCCTCCTACTGAATTTCTGGTCAGAAGTTACCCTGGACCGGAAGTGGGCGGTGTAAAAGTCGAGTGACGAATTTCACACGGCAGTGGGGCACTTGATTTTACATGGCCCGTTTTGTTTGCTGTTTGTTCTGTATGCACTGGTCTCACTTCCTCAACTAGACTGGCAGCTCAGACAGCAGTGGTTTATATTTGTAAATAAATATGTGTATTTATATTTATATATGCGTAAATCATCTTTATAATGCCTATTTAATAATAAGCATTTTTCAAACTTGAGCATGAATCAGAATTGCATGGAAGATTGTTATAATAGCTGACTGGGTCCCTCCCCCAGCATTTCTGATTCAGCAGCCCTGGAATGGGCTGAGAAGGTGTATTTCTGACAAGTTCCCAGGGATGCTGATGCTGCTGGTCCAGGAAACACACTTGGGGAACCACAGGTTAGGAATGTAATGTGCCACAAGACTTAGCAGCAAGTAGGCTGAGGCTGAGTCACCACTCACTTAGCTGTGTGACTTTGGGCAAGCTCCCATTTGAGTCTCTGTTTCCTCATCTGTAGAAATGGGGATAATAATAGTGTGCACATTGGGAGTGTTGTGAGGATTAACTGTGATAATGAATGCAGTGTGCATAGTACTGTCCCGGACACATTGAAAACATTCCTTAATGCCTCCCATTATCCCTGGAAAGGCTGGCACGATGTCAGGCACTAAACAGGCACCAAACCAAGCCTTCCCAGGCTCATATATAACTCGTTTTGAATTTGTAAGCAGTGAGAGTGAAGGGTGTCACTGAAGCATGATACTTATAATGCACAGCTCTTGAAACTAAGGCAGGCTATTCAAAAGCACAGCATAGGGGCCTTCAGAAATACCCCTCCCTGTAGTACTCTGTGTGGAAATGCCCAGGTATACAAAAGCCATGTGTATTTTTAAGATTCAGGGGCTGTCTTCGGGCTACCTTCTTCACACCTTGATGATGTGATGAAGGATGCTGAAGATGGCAAGTTGGCCTCTGAGAGCTTGAGTTGCTGGAGTAATCCAGGCATCTGGGCTAATGGATTGGCAGACACAAGCAGAGCCCATCATTCAATAATTGATTAGCTGCAGTCACGGGAAGACAACCTCCCCAGAGCAGTTAGGACAACTATCACCTCCTCCATCCCAGTTGTTTCGAAGCACCCAGGCCCCTGCCACTCTCTCCTGGCTCAAGAACTTCTTCACCCAAAACAAGGAGAAATGTATTTTTTTCTGTACTTTCCTTCTGGGTCTATCTGAGCAGTTATACTGGCTGGCATTCTCTTGAGGAAGCCCAAGAGGGGATGTGCAAACCAGACAATTTTCAAACCTTGTCCCACAGCCCTTTAGGGCCTGAGATGGTGGATCTAGGGATCTAGGGATGGTCTAGCCCTAGTCTTGTCCCAGTAATATGGGGGACAGGGGTCATGGCTCTGTCTCTCAGTGGACCACTAGTCTGGAGAATGTTGTTCATTCAATGCAAAGTTGAATGAGATCATCCCTGGGAGCATTAGTATGGAGCAGAGGCTGCGGTTTGGGGGTTGGGGGAGATGCTGCCGCCCCTCCCTTCCGCCGGTCCCCTTTACAGAAGAGGATCACCGCCTCTTTTCATTCAGCTGAACCCCTCCCTGATACTCAGAAAAAGGACGACCCTCTCCCCCTCCTATATCATTTTCTCTCCTGCTCCCAATTCCCAGCACAAAACCATCACAGCCTTCCTCCAAGTGTGTGGACTCACGGGGGCACCACCCTCGGCAGCCCCGGTTCAGGGAGGGTCTCCTCTCCCAGCGCCCTGGCCAGACCCGGGCTCCAGTGTGGAGGGGAGCGAGAAGGGGGTGTGTGCACCGCTGGAGGGGAGCCGACCTCCAGGAGGTTAGGAGAGGCCAGCGTCCCCGCACCTGGAGTCACCAGCTGCGAGATGAAAACCCAGGCGGGGAGGTTCCCCACGGTGTCTCCCCCTTCTCACCATTTCTCCTTGCTCAGTCTCTCTCTCTTTCCGTTTTCTTCTTCTCCATCCCCCTTCTCCCTCTTTGTCTGCCTTTTTCTCACCTCCGCCGTTTGGAACACCCTGCCTTCTCCCGGAGCCAGGCTCGGACGCCGCAGCAGCGATCAGAACCCGGGGGACCCCGGCTCCGAGTCCCCGCCCGGCCCCCTCCTTGCCCGGCCCTCTTGGCTACGGGTCTCACCCAGAATAGCAGGTTGAAGCCGAGCAGCAGGTACTTGATGCACCGAAGGCCCCCGCGGAAGCGCCCCATGCTGCAGCCCCAGCGGCGGGATCCAGAGTTCCCAGGGTGGGTATTGAGTGCCAGGAGCGGAGGCAGCCGGTGGGGAGGGGGTGGAGCGCTAGGGGCCGGGGGCGGGGTCTATGGAGGCGGGGCAGAGGCGGGGCCTGCAGAGGGCGGGCGAGCCCCGGCAGGGGGCGTTAGAGGGCCCCAGTAGGACGCGGAGCGAAGAGGCTGGCGAGGGTTGGGGTGCCTTCGGGATCAGTGGGAGCATGTCCCCACTCTCCTCCGGAACCAGGGACCGCCTTCTTTACTCCCAATGCCAGATGACGTGCTCCGCAGGCGCTCAGCTCCCGGTGGTTATCCGAGCATCTGCGAGGAAGGAGCGTCCACTTAATTAAGTGGGAACCCGAGACCCACTTAATCAGCGCCCTGTGCAGACTCATTTGAGGCTTGCAGTGGCGGTTGGGGATAAGGACACGGCCCGGTGGCTATGGAAACTTAGGAAGGTGGCCTAGGGTACAGATAGAGAAGGAGGATTTGAGTCCGCCTTGAAGCTGGCATGACCTGTCGCCGGGCACCTCCGCCTGGGGGCTGTGGCTCTCTGGCGCCGGACGAGATCATTGGCCAAGGAGGCCACTTTCCAGGGATGCCCCCCCCCCGCCCCTCCCACGCTCCTCCGAGGACTCTTACCTTAATAGGCAAGAACGAGGAGAAGGAGCAGGATGCGACCGTCTTGCCCGGATGGCTGCTTCCCACTTTGCTCTTCCCACACGGCCAGTGGAGGGGGCGTCACACTCTTAGGGTCCTGCTGGATTCAACCGATGGGAGAGCGTGGAAAGGGATGTGGATATGGAAGTTAGGAGGGGGTGGGTTTTGTTCTGCTTTGTTTTATTAAATTTGGCTGCTGGTGGGGAAATCAGGCTTCCACTCTGGTTGACTAAGTGTCTAAAGTATGTGGTGCCAGACAGTGTGGGGGCGACAAGAAAGTGTAAAATTCAGGGAGCCTATGCATTCATTCAGCAAAAGTTTAAGTTTCTATTATAGGCCAGGCAGCGTAGCAACAAGCCCCAAGGACCCAACAATGTGGAATCAAGGGGGCCTGGTAGCACTGCCTCCTGTCTCTGGTGGTAGAGACAGACCTGTAAGCAAATAATTACTGCAAAGTGAGGGGATCAGGCAAAACGCTGGCCAGTGCCGCCTGGCCTCACTGCACTGGGCAGAGAAAGTTTCTCTGAGGAGGGTGGGCCTGCTCTAGCCTTGAAGAATGAGTCTGAGCAGAGGGGAAGGGCCGTCCAGGCAGTGCAAAGAGCATGTGCAAATTAGACAGGGTGGGAGAACACAAGGCCTCCTGGGAGAACTTAGAGCTATGCTAAGCCCAAGTGGAGCAGAGAAGATGAGTTGGAAAGATGCTAGGGCACAACTTTCAGACAACTGACAAAAGCATCGTCAGGCCTCAGTTTCCTCATCTGCAGCATGGAGATAATAGTACGTACCTCATAGAGTTATGGAGATTCATGAGTTAATATTATTCAAGTGCCCAGAACAGTGTGTGGGACAGAATAAATACTATATGTGTTGGGTATTGCTGTATTGTGTCAGATGACCAATCACTTTGTATCAGTGTTGCCATCTTTGCCTACATCTGTAACACTTGTTTGAGTATCCAAAGTGAATTTTATTTATGACAAGTCAGTAGAAGACAGAAAAATTAAAGTGCCGATTCTGGTAATAAGCCAAAGCTTCAAACAGTGAAACAGAGACAGAGATGGACATCATTAGGTATGCAGAAAGAGGCAGATCTTTAGCTTCAAACACTCATTGTTCTATATTTGTCATCTCTGTTTTAAGATAAAGGAAAAGACCTCAATGAAAGAATGGTATCTAGCACATAGTAGGCATTCAATAAATCTCTGAGCTGAATGAACAACAGTGATATTATATGTCAAATATATTGTTAAATTTTAGGTCTCTAAGACAAAATACATTAGAGAGTCTATACTCTAGGAAGAGAACCTATATTATAACGTACAAATCTATTGTTCTTTCATACTACAATCTTAGCACACATGTAGCAGAGACAGATGGTTGCCTGCCTAGCATAGTAGATTTAGATTTTGAATGTAGTCTTCCCCAGCTCTCCTCCTGCACAAAGTTGCATCCTAAGGGATCTAACCCTTGACAGGGGCAGGGCATCCTAACTGATAACACATTTTCAAGAGCACATTAGCGTGAAAGCAGGAAACTACATTCAATGACATAATAAGGAAGTTAGCCTTTAAACTAGATGTTATGCAAAGCCACAGACAAGATCTAAGCAGGGGAGAGATGGTTAGATTTCTATTTTTAGAATGGCCAAGCTGGGGGCTCAGGGAGGATGGTTTTAAAAGTTCAGACTTGAGACTGATTACAGCAGTTTAGAAATGACCACCTGAACCAGGACAGTGGCAGTGGGTGTAGGAAGGAGGCTGAGATTTAAGACTGACAAAAGATCAAGACAGAGCGGATATGAGGAATATAGAAGGGAAAGAGACGGCAGGATGACTTCTGGATTTCTTACTTGGGTAACTGTTAGCAGCTCATGGAAACTGTTAACAGAGATAGAAAATACAGAAGGTGGAGAAGGTTTGGGGGAGAATGTTCCAAGTACTACAGATGGGCTCACCTGTCACCCAACCCTACATCCAGTTCAGAGGATAGAAAAGCTAAGTACTTGCTTTCTGATTTCCTTTGCAGCTAGGGTGACCATGTGACACAAGATGATTAATGGTGTTTGTGTGGATGTCTGCTGGGAAGCTTCTGGAAAATCTAAAATTGTCTTAATAAAAGATTCATTTGTCACTGGCATTGCTCCCATCGCTTTTTCCCCATCTTGAACTCAGACATGATGCTTGGAGCTATAGAACATTTTGTGACTATGAGCAAAGGCCAGGAAAACTGCAGACCTGCCAACCAGGAGATTGTCGAACTGCTGAACAAATACCAGCAGCCACCTACCCCCAGATTTCTTGTTATGTAAGAAAAATAACCTTTGTTTTTGTTTGACTCTTATATTCTTGTACTTGTAACTGATCATATTTCTAACTGACACAGGAAGACAATAAATTTATATTTGGATCTGTCCAGTTTTAGATCTGATGGGAAATCCAGATGGAATGGTCCAAGAGACAGATGGGAATATGATTGGGATTCTGGAGAGAGGTTTGTATTGTAAGTTTAGGTTAAAAATTCATCAGCAAATGGTGATAATAGGAACCCAAAGGTCTTCAAACTTTTTCCCACACATTCCCTAAAAGAATTATGAAAAATATATTCTCCTTATGAAATAATATATCATCTTTTCACATTTCTTCCAATATTTATTGTGAATATTTTCAAATCTACAGAAAATTTGGAGTAATTGAGCAGTGAACACCATAGACTTACCACCTATATTCTACTGTAGACATTTTGCTTTAGGTATATTACTTATTTCTACATTTATCAATCTATTTTTTATGCATTTCCAAATAAATTTTAGACATAAATACATTTTACCCCTAAACTCTTCAGCATGCATAACATTAACTTTAGAGTTGAAATATTTATTTACGGATTTTCTTTTTTGAGATAAAATTTACTTCAATGAAATTTTAAGTGTACTGTTTGATGATATTTGATGAATGCTTTACTTTTTTTAATCCCAAACCCTCTTAGGTATGAGACATTACTATCACCTCAAAAAGGCCTGTGGCTCCTTTCCCGGTCAATCCACACCTACTCCTCCTAAAGACAAGCACCATTCTGATTTTTTTCACAGTAGATCATTTTTGCCTGTTCTATAACATCCTGTAAATGGAACATACAGTATTTACCTTCATGCACTTTTAACTTGACATAGCAACTCCAATGATAAGTTTCAGTATTTGTAAAAGATGTCATTTTTGGTATATCTTAAATATTTACATTGTAATATAAGGTGTCACATCACTCATTTTAATGCATCAAATAGAAACTAAGTGCCAATGTGATCTGCTACCTGCCATCCTGTATTTAAAAAAATACGTGGACAAGATCCTCTTTACCAGGATGAAGGTTTTCCATCTTTCCTTTTTCTTCTTGAATTTGTATTTTCACTCACCTTTTTCCATGAAATGTAGTCCCAAATGCATTTTTATACTTGTTTTTTCTGGAATGTCCTTTCATACTTATCTGAACAAATATTATTATATGTTTATTAAAAGAAATGAAAATTTTCCTCCTGAGACTATAAGGCTCTAAGTGTTAATTAGTTTCTTCTATCTTGTTATCATTAAAATTATTCTTAGTATACAATTGATTAACATAAATATAATTTACATAAACACTCGTAAACATAAAAGTCAAATATTACTGGAAATGCATCTCAGTGAGATTGGTGGGGTTGGTTTTTTCTCCCTACTAATTCGTGTATCCATGAATGAAAGTTATTCATTGCTAGAACAACACGGGGCTCAGCATAAATTTTCTTAATATTAATGCTGAGAAACTTTGTTTAGCTAAATAAGTAGATGAGGATGAAAGAAGTTGTTACAGCAGTGCCCTTTCTAAATTGTATGCCCCAAATTCATGTACTTATCTTTCTTTTTTTAATTAAAAAATTGATTGATTTTGAGAGAGAGAGAGAGAGAGATTGATTCGTTGTTCCACTTACTGATGCATACATTGGTTGTTACTTGTATGTGTCCTGACCAGAGATTGAACCTGAAACCCTGGCTATCAGGTGAAAAGTTTAATCAGCTGAGTGAATAGGCCAGGGCTTATCACATACTGATCTTTCAGTAGCTATTTCTAATGAGAATCAGCTGACAACTCCATCTGGACTTTCTTAGGTTTTCATGAAAGACTTGGAATCCTTCTAACTTACAAGAGCATATATATCACACGAATATTTTCAGGCAGACTGATCCTCTTAAAACTAAATATTTATTTTGGACTGCTCTCTGGAAAGATTTTCACATCACAAGGATATAGATGCCCTAGAGCTATACAGCTGCTTTAAAGGTAGGAGCACAGATGATATGGCCAGTATGAACCCCAAGAAGAAGGTATGCACAGTATCTGCCAGGAAGAACTCCTCCT